TAGATATTTACACCCTTCTAAAATCTAAATACTTCTAAAAGTTTTTACTGAAAAGGATAAAAAAATCACGTGTCCTAGGTCACTAAATTCTAATCTAATAGAACTCAAAAGACAGATCTTCCGACTTGTGCAGCACATGAACCATATTGCAAGAAGCGTTGGTTTACGCATCATCATCCTACAAAAAAATAATATTAATTAGACTTTGATTTAAAATAGAGGGAACCACATAGGCTTATTTGCATTAGACAGTATGGTAGGGGTAGAAATATTCAGCTAAAAAACATTATAACATAAACTCCAAGATATCATATCAAGTATCTACTCCAAAAAAACTAAATAAAAATAGATTAAAAAATACTTCAGAAACTCCTTAACCTCATTAAACTAAAATGACCTCAAGAACTGAGGTGCAACCAACTAAACATACAACACTCTTTTATGTGGTTTAGTAAGAGTATCAACTGAACAAACAAAAAGATATCAAGTATTATTAGGTGGAGTTTACTTACCATGATGTCATCCATAGGATTTGCAGGACTTGCCTCATCTGAACCACTTAAATTTGTAATAATATTAAAAAGTACAGCAGGAAGTTGAGTCTGTTAAACAGAGTACAAATAAAGATCTTAAACATGATAGGGCCAAGGATGATACTATTTTGTAATATCAAAAAGACTGACAAGTTTCACTTTCCAGAACAATAGCAAAGAATTATTGGAAAGCACTGCGTACTACAAGTGCAATTAATAGGTTAGTTAACAAACTTAAAGAATCTTTGCAGCTTAAGAGTACTAATATAACCAAACTCAGGTGGAATTCCACCTTCATAACTATTAAAATAACCTAACCTAAGTTCAAGATTTGGAAGCAAAGCCAAAATCTTTGGCATTTTTCCAGTAAGTAAGTTACCCTCCAAACCCAACCACTGTGAACTTTCAATGTGAGATTAAAACTGTTATTCGAAAGATTAACGTATTTGATAGAAGAAATCTTGGATATATCTAAAGGGTGTGTACCAATTAAGTTATCTCCAAATATAATAAGGGTTTCAAATTTATCTAAAAGACCAATTTTAGGTGGAATGATGCCAAATAGAGGAACATTAGAAATATTTAAAGATATAACACGTGAATCATTGTTACATGTTACAACTTCTGATTTAGCTCAAAAGATTTATAAAATAACTATTTGGTCTTCATAAGGAACCTACAGAAACTTTAGTGCTTATACTAATACCTGGGAACTTTGTATAAGGGATGTAAGTCCCACCATGCCCTCTTTTAACATTTTCTGCTCACGTCCTACACGGGCTTCCATTACTCCTACATGAGCTTTTATGACTTCTAGATTTTTCCGCTCCTCCTCAAGTTGCTCTTGCACCTCTTTAAGTTTAGATTCTACACTCTCTCGTTTATGACGTTCTTCTTCCACCTCTTTTTTTTTGTGCTTGCAGTTGCTCTTGAAGCCCTTGCATGGATCGCTTATTTGTTAGCTTAAGTCCCGATCCTTGGCTGCGGTAATAGCCTGACTTTTCTCCAACAATTTTCATAAAGGACGCATTAACAATAGGGTCCATATCATCAGTACCCTCTTCTGTTTCTTGAATTTACTCTGCAACCAATTCATTCACTTTATCCTAAAAACAGGGCATACAAGCTTTAGCTTTCAATATTTTTTTTAATAAACTCATATCATATGACTAAAGATTAGAGTTTTGTAAATACATTCAATTCAGCAGTGGCATCGTTGACGCAATGACTATTTTTCATGTGAGTTTTCTCCCAAAGTTTCTGAAAGTTCGGCTCTTTTTCGGTGATTGCATCTCTCTAACAAATTAAATCAAATTATGTTATTGAAGAAAGAATTACTAAATTCATTAAATAAGACATATCTCACCTCTTCAAAAGAGATTGCCCCGAAGGATTTTCTACCGCAAATATGATTGATTCCTTGTTTTGCTTTATTTATTTTGTTTCTAGCACTCATTCTCTGCATTGAATATGAATTAATGATATATCCTATAATTCAAGTATAAAAAGTAAAATAAGAAATAAACAAGACTTTGGATCTGGTGATGAGAATTTAAGTTCCATTTCATAGGTTGCTTTCTTAGTTTTTTGTAACTTCCCTAGTTGACGTAGACATTTTTCAGAATTCTTTTAGCTAAATAATAGCTATTGTGCATATTTCATTTAATTACCTTGAAAGGATCAGAGTCGAAATAGTCCACCAAGAATTTCCATTCAACTTCAGTGACATCTTCTGGTATGTTTTGCAATCGTTCCTCCTTTGTAGCAAATTTCTTGAAATGATCATGGAGCCTACTACGACGATATCGATACAAATTATTAGTTGTATGAAGGATAGTATCCCTAGTCTGGAATTTCAAAGGCGTCCTGCACTCAAATCAAAAAATTAGAAGTGATAGCTTTGTCACCTAAGACTCTACTAGCAACCAAATAGATTTGTATGTGGAACCTATAATAAAGGATTTCAAAGCTGGAACCATTAGATTAAAATATGCCTACTGTTCTTTATACATACTACTAGTATAATGGGCAAATGTTACTAAATATGTCATTTGGTTGAATACTACTCATTCAAGAATAAAAAACTATGAACTTAAAGATATACAAAGAGAATTACCAGCATATGAGCAACAATCCTTTCTTTTGCTAGATCAGAAACTTTCTTCCAAGTTTTGACATCATGCTTAGCATTTTGGTCAACTGTAACTGAAAGCTCGGCAACAAAATTATTAGCTCCAGGACCAACTGCTATTGTTCGATCGGGTGGGATAATCACCTCCAGCTTTCCATTGAGATTATTTTTGCGTTTCTTTTGGATTAAAAACCCTCTAGTCTTCCCCCTTCCTTTTCTCATTTGTCCTTCAACAATACACAAGGATATTAAAATAAAAGACTCCAGAAAACTTCCACATCAATTCATCACTGAGAAAAATACTCTACAGAAAAGAAATAGATGTATCGACCTTAGGCATGGTATTTTTCATATGAAGTCCTTACAAACTTCAACTTCCAAAATAATTACAATTTATAAATAATATAAAGATGTGATCTCTAATCCACAAATAGATGGAGAACAATTTCTTTTCCTCTACAAAATGAATGTCTATACAATAAATAGCAACTAACAACCTATTGTATCTTCTACTTGAAATGCATGAGAAAATTTAAAAGATTAGTAGTTCAAAAAAGCTTATGATTTAAAGTATATATTATTATCATACTTCACTCAAAGTGACTAAAAACAAATCAATTACTCAAATAATTAAATCCTACTCTTTATAAGAATTTATTACCAAATTTGAAGGCATAAAAAGTCTGTTTCTACTAAGTTATACAAGCATGATATTTCTCAAAGTTACTTTTTACTAAATGAATCAACTCACGTGGTTGTGGGTTTGAAATTACTCCTGCAGATTCAACACTAGCAGAAACATGCGCATTTGTCTTCATGATAGTCTGCAAGACATAATAAAAAGAATTATACTGGAACTAGTTGAAAGTAGAAGTGAAGGCAGAACATTGCACATATTGTCAATCAGAAAATAATTTATCCAAAAACATAACTATAGATTAAGATGTATGCCAAACAGACTATTTAAGTAAAAATAAAACAAATATAGTGACTAAATAACGATTGTTAGATATAAAATCATGTATTCAGATATATTTTGACTCATTATTTGGCATGGAATGAAGCTAAACATTCTAAATATTAAATGAAGTTAAATAGTAACAAACATAATAAAGAAATAAAAAGAGAAGCGGAAAGGAAAAATTAACCATTTGGGCAAGGTGGTGAAAAATTACATTCATCCTCACAGCCAATTACCATCCTTATTTTCATCATGTTCATCCTCAGATAAATATTCTTCATCTGTTGAGTCATCACTATCTTCATGATCCGATTCAGCTACAACTTCTAAGTCTATTACTTCCTCATTTGAGAGAAGGTGCTTCAACACTCAATCCATCAATATCTTCTCTTTGTATTCTAATTATATCAGTGTCTGATTCTACTTGAAGATTTTGCTCTTCCCTTTCAACCAGGTCAGTTAATTGATAAGGTTCTCTTTCATCATCTTATTCGGGTAGATCATACAAGTTTCATGGTCTTACCCTTACCACTGCATTCCAATTCTCATTTTGATCATGTTTAACATAATACACAGATTGAGTTTGTGATCCTAGAATAAATGGATCGTTTGTGTAATGAAGTCGTGTCACATCCACACATATGAATCCATATTCATCCCTTTGGTAACCTCTACTTTGACTTCGACCATGCGGCGGAACTTCAAACCAGTCACATTGGAATAATATCACTGAATTTTGTCCAAATATTGGATTTCTAATATTCTTCTTATCTTTCCATAATAATCAGCATTTTCTGTATATTCATCACTCTTTACAACTACACCACTATTTTGAGTTTTTAAAAATTTCTCAGATGTCATTGTTCGAAACCTAAAACCATTCAAAACATATCCATTATGGCATTCAACTCGTAAATCTGGACCTCTTGCCAAAGCTAGCAATTGATCAGTAATTTGACTGTCACCGTTATCTTTTAATTGTAGCACCTATTAATTACAAACTCACAAATATTAGTACTACTTAAAAATAAAATTTATGAATTGTCCTAAATAAATATCAACCAACATTGAATTATATAAGTTACCTTTTTCTGAAACCATAAAGGAAATTCCTCTTTGTGCCTCTTGGCAACATTTCTATTATTCTTCTTTGTTAATATTTCTAAATGTTCCCTATAGATGGTGAAAATTAAAATAAAATGAAAATATTACAAGATAGTCATTGAAAGAATTCATAAGAAGAAAGAATGTAAACTAAGTGAAAAGTTTTTTTACTCGATAAAAGGGCCAATTTCTGCACAATTTTGGAGGTTGTAAAAATGCGCTTGCTTGATTTCAAGATCATTCAATTTTGTCCAATCACCCCCTCCAAATGGCTTACCACGACAGTTGAATATAGATAAGCCATTAGGATCCATGTTGGAAGAATTAGAATTCCTATCCGGGCGATTTTCCTTTGTCTCCATATCAGTCAAATATTTGGAACAGAATGCCATGCATTCCTCTACAAGATAGCCCTCAGCAATTGACCCTTCTGGGCGAGCCATGTTGCGTACATAACCTTTTAATATGCGCAACATTCTGTTAAGTAAAGATATATTAGTTTTGAGCAAATTTCAACTAAAAGAAAAATTTAGAGTTGTAAAAGTCTAACCTCTCGATGAAATACATCCATCGAAATTGAACAGGACCACCCTCCTTTGCCTCCTTTGCTAAATGGATTGCCAAATGAATCATGACATCAAAGAAGGATGGTAGGAATATACGTTCTAGTTTGCAAATTGTCATCCGTATACTTTTATCTATTTTATCTAACTTATCCATATGCAACTCTTTAGCGCACAAATCGCTAAAGAATAATGACAATTCAATTAACGGATCATATGCATCCTTTGGCAAAATCCCTTTTATGATAAATGGAAAGATACGCTGGAAAAGAACATAGTGACCGTGACTTTTGAGTCCAAAAAGTCTAGCTTCCTTAAGATTGACACAAAGACTAATGTTAGAAGCACAAGCATCAGGAAACTTGACATCTTTGATGAGTTGACAGAATTTAATCTTCTCAGTTTTGGACATTGTATAACTAGCAGGAGGAAGTATGTACTTATCCCCACTTTTTATTGGATGAAGAGGCTTTTTGATTCTCATCTCTTGTATGTCCAATCGAGATTTCAATGTGTCCTTTGTTTTTCCGTCAATATCCAACAACGTTCCTATCACGCTTTCACTAATATTTTTTTCTATATGCATTACATCCAAATTATGTCTCAACAATACAGTCTTCCAATATGGGAGTTCAAAGAATATACTTTTCTTCTTCCAGTTGTCACGTCTTTTTGTATCTCGTTTTCTTTTTCTTGTGTTGTCACCCATGGATCCTTGTAAGGATGTATTTAGTTGTGCAAGCACATCATCTCCACTCAATGCTTGTGGTGGAGGTCTTTCTTCCCTTGTGTTATCAAAAGAACTTTTGGTCCGACGATAAGGATGATTTATTTTCAAGAACCTACGATGAACCATATAGCAATGCTTTCGACCATATTTCAAGTAAATGGAGCAAGTATTTACATGACAAACTGGACAAGCAAATTTACCTTTTGTGCTCCAACCGGACAACATGGCATATGATAGAAAGTCATTAATTGTCCACAACAAAGAAGCACGTAATTGAAAATTTTGTTGCTTAAAAGCATCATAAATCTCAATTCCATCCTCCCATAATTTTTTCAAATCATCAACCAAAGGTTGGAAATACAAATATATATCCATACCAGAGCTTTTTGGGCCAGGAGTAAGCAAGGACAATAAAATATTAGGTTGTTTCATGCATAGCCATGGGAGAAGATTATATGGAATCAAAAATACTGGCCACATACTATAGGCATTACTCATGGAACCAAAAGGTTAAAACCATCTGAAGCAAGTCAAAGTCTTACATTACGCGGATCTGATGCAAAATCCAAATGCTTCTCATCAAAAATTTTCCACGTCAGTGAGTCAGCTGGATGCCTTAATACTCCATCATCATCTCGCTTATTTTTATGCCACATCATATCTTATGTGGTTCGTTTAGTCATAAACAATCATTGTAATCTTGGGATCAAAGGAAAGTATCTAAGAATTTTTCCAAGAATTCCTTTCTTTCTCTTATTCAATTTACTTGAAGCAACCTCGTTGTCATCTTCTCCTTCTTTCTGTACTATCCATCTTTTCTCACCACATTTAGGACATTTCTCAAGATCCACATATTCCTTTCTATATAAGATGCAATTATTAACACAAGCATCTATTTTCACATAATCCAGACCCAAATCTTTAATAATCTTTTGAACTTCATAAATAGAATTAGGGAGCACATGTCCTTTGGGAAAGGCATCACTTAATAGTTTTAACAAAGAGTCTAATGGAGTATTACTCCAACCATGCAAGCATTTCATTTGAAAAAGACGCATTACAAAAGAGAGCTTCGAGAACTTTTCACAATCTGGATATAACTTCTGCTCTGCATCCTTTAACAACCGATAAAAACCCTTAGCTTCTGCATTAGGTTCTTCATATCTAGACTCAGCCGACTCATCAGACGGATCATGAGTTATATTATCTATAGGAACACCATGATACATGTCATGCAACATCTCGAAAGTGGCATCATCATCATTTCCAAAATTTGAATTTGCACTAGAATTTATTTCATCATCTGAAGATGACTCTGACTCACATGATGAATCCACCTATTATATGTTGGATCTATACCCCACCTAAGTAAATCTATTTTCACTTCTTCTCGTGTTTTCCTACGCACATGGTTACAGTTAATGCATGGACATTGAATTCTTAAACCAACATTAGGATTTGAAAATGCAAAGTTTAAAAATTGTTCCACGCCATTCAAGTATTCTCGTAATGCCCTATTCCTAAGAAGTATCCAACTTTTATCCATCATATAATAACCTACAAAAATATAAAATATTAACTGTCCCTCAATGTTTTGCTGTTAATTTAGCAAAAAAATAAATAAGAAAAGGTCAGAGAAAGACTCTATACTAAAATACAATAAAAATAACAGCATATAAATTGAACGAGCAGTGATACAAGCGAAGGAACACACTATAGATAAATAGTAATCAGCAAAACTCACCAGACTTTGTAGACGAGAAATAATGAAGCAAAGAATAGACCATAACCAATTGCTCAGAGCTTTAGAATAATAAAGGAGAAAACCTTGCTAGAATGCTAACTGAAATAGGCTAAGGATTAAGGAAAAAATAATTAAAAGGAAGAAACTGGTTTGCCGCTTTTCTTTGGGCGGAAAGTTAAAAAATACTAAGCTAAATCTTAGGCCACTAACCAAACCTGTTGAGAAAATTAAGGTGTGAACAGAACTTGTTGAGACAATTAAGGGTTCTACCAAATATAAATTATTGCTTAGTTATTATATTTTAGAACAACTATGTTTTCAAATAAAATATGGCAGCAACAAAAAACTTACCCAAAGCAACTAAAATAGTGGGCTAAAAATCCGAAAAAAGTGATTAACAAGAGAAAATTTTGGCGCGTTTGATTTTGGCGGAAAACTGGAAAATAATTAGCTAAGTTTTAGGCCACAACCCACCTATTTTGTAGGCAAAAATAAAGTGTATTGCCAACAATACAAATTTACTGTTGCTAGTGTCAAAGCAAAATCTCATTAATTTATTTTAAGCCATATTTACATCTGCAACTAATGAGGAAATCAGAGAACTAAATTTCAGCTGCTATTCCACAAAAATTGATGAAAAACGTACCTTTTTGCGGCGAGCGGGGTCAATGTTTATATCGATGCTCCTTTTCTTTCAATTTTTACCAAAATCTTCCTCTAGTTCTCTTCAAAAATTTCAAATTCATGGGTGATGAATTAGCTGGATTCGTCTTTGACAAAAAAGAATTTTGAAAGAGTAATGGTGTCATTGAATTGAAGAATGTTGGGGAGTAGTCTTTGAAGCAGAGAGCAATTGACATTACAATTACAAAAAGAAACAGAGAGCAATTTGAGAACGGTGTCAAAGATAGGATTCTTGGTAGCTCCGTCAGTGTAGGTGGCCAAAATGAAAGGACAATGCTATTTACACGTAGCAAATTAAAATGTGAAGGAATTGAATAAAGCCAAGTACACAGTACAATTGGCACTGCCTTGGGTACAGCTGTTCAATGCAGTGGTTGGTAACAATGAATCAAATGTTGCTAAAAGTTCTATGATAATAGCAATAATTTTTTAACGTTGTTGTCACTTATTACAATAAGCCAACAACACTGTGATTGTAGCAAAAAATTGTTGCCAATTTTTTTAATTTAAAATTAATTATCTAAATAATAGAATATAGCAACAATATCATAATATTTGCTAACAAGAAAAATTTTGTGGTTAAAAATTATATGATTTAGCAACAACTTTATGAGGTTGTTGCTATTTGTTCATTTTTGCAACAATACTATGGTTGTTGCTAAAAAATTGTGGCAAATTCCATACTTTTTTGTAGTGTATATCAGGAACACATAAACAACCCTGGAGTCGTAGAGCACCATCCTCGCCGATAGAAACCTCCTTGGAACCACCTTGTAGTATCGTCTCTCTAAGAACCATCAAATGCAGATCATCAAAACTGTCGAGCCTTGATCTGCTCCAAAAGTGAAGACTGGACACAACGCATACAAGAACTCGGCTGGGCTCTGAAATGTCCAACCTCACAAGTCTGTTAGCCAAGGACTGAATGTTCGAAGCTAATGGCCTCTCCTCTGCTAAGATGAATGCCACGCTACCCATACTCTCTGCCTTTCTGCTCAAGGCATCCGCTACTACATTCGCCTTGCCCGGATGATAAAGAATGGTGATGTCATAGTCCTTCAGTAACTCAAGCTATCTGTGCTGACTCAAATTGAGATCCATTTGCCTGAACAAATGTTGTAAGCTGCGATGATCAGTGTAAACCTAACATGACACCCCATAAAGATAATGCCTCCAGATCTTAAGAACATGAATAATCGCGGCTAACTCTAGATCGTGCAAAGGGTAATTCTTCTCATGGATCTTCAGCTAATGTGAAACATATGCAATAACTCGCCCATCTTGCATTAACATATCCCAAACTGATGCGTGAAGCATCGCAATACACCATATACATTGTAAGCACGTGATTTTTGCCCTATATGAGAATTACTCCCAAAAAATTCAAAAATAAA